TAGTTAGAAACAGGGTAAAGGCCTAACACAAATGTTTTCACAGCCAATGTCCCAGTGGCATCACAATTATCTGAGCAGATCTTACCTCTTCACAATCTGCCATCTCTGTTGGCCAAGCCCCTATTCCCTCCCATGTATCTCCCATCTCCCTTGTCCCAGCTAGCCCTGACCTCTCCAAATGTTTCATCTTGTTGGGGGCTGTACTGTAATGGCTTTCCAGACCTCCAAGTATCTCTCTGCTCACTGCTGGCCAGTCAGAAGTGACCTCACGGCCAGCATCCAAGGGGACACAATGTGCTGCTGTGCTGGAGAGGTCCCTGCTCAGACACCCCAGCAGTGCTGGAGGCAGCTGATGCCCTGCACCACGCCTGAGCCACTCTGCCTGGAGATCCTGCTCCAGAAGGGCACCCAGATCTCCTGGGGCACACTTCCCACAGAGGTGCTTCAGCTGCCCCAGCACATCCTGGAGGCAGTGAGCACCTCTGTGTGGACAACTGAAGCAAGCCCCGAATGTAGATTTTAGGATAAATTTGAAACCTCTGCAGAAAAGAACTCTTTCTAATAGCTGAAAAACTTTCCTCTCCAGCATTGCTAATTTTTTATGAATTTTGGTAAACTTTGTCATAGTTTTTTATTAACAGCACCATGGGTATGTACTAGCTAGATGATTATTTTCTCATGTATTATGTAAATAGTTTTTTGCAGCCACTTACCAAAATAAATGGTCTTACTGACGGTTCCAATGGGGAAACATTGCTCAGAGGAACTACTGTGTTTATAGTGGCACATTTTCTCTCTTTAATTCCGCCTCTGTGTCTTTTCTCCTTCCTCTGCCTATCCTATCTTCAGTGAGCTCTCCAGGGGAAAGATTCATTGAATGACAGAAGAACTCATGTCGGAGGATACCTGAACATTGTCTTGTCTGACTCTCCTGTTGGAGGCAGGGTGACCTAGATGAGGTATCTCAAAGGCTCCCCCAATTTTCCTTCATCTACAAAGGAGCTGAAGGTGAGTTCCATCCCATCATACAGGGAGATAATCAAGACGTTCAACAGTTGAGGCCCAAAGTGCTGTCATCACAAAGGAATGCCCAAAGTGGGGGGCTCTCAGGAGGACTCTCTACCACTGATGTCATCTGAGCCTGTTCATCCAGCATAACTCCCCCCCACCTCAACGTGTTCTTTTTCAGTGCAGATATCACCACTCCGGCTATAAGGAGACCATGGGAGACCATGTCTAAGGCTTTGTTAAACTCCAGGTATGCAACATCACCCACTTTCCCCTCCCACAGGCATTTAGCAATCCTTCTCTTTTCCTTCACGTGCCTGGAGATGGTTGCACGAGGACTTGCCCCATCACCTTCCCAGGGGCTAAGGTGAAGCTGACCAGCCTGTAATTCTTACAGACCTCCTTCTTGCCTGTTGTGAAGAAGGGTTTGATATTTTCTTTTTCTAAGGACTTTGGAACTTCCTGGATCACCCTGGCTTTTCTGAGATGTTTGAGAGAGGCCTCATGTTGACACTGGCTAGCTCCACCAGCACCTCTCTCCTCCTTCCCATGCCAAAAGCCTTCTCTGCATCCCACACTGTCAGAAGACTGACTTGGGTGTAGCACACTGTGTGTCACACAGAGAAGGACGAGTGTGCTGTAGGAAACAGTGACACTAGATAGACCTTCAGGCTGCCCACACTGGGTGGGAGAGCTGCTCCAGGGTGGAAGCTCTGATGCACACACGGAATACCGGCATGAACAGGAAGGGGAGGGCTGGCTCTACAAAGCAGGTTGTGAAAGCAAACGGCACGAGTGTCAGTGTCACGGCAAGGGAGCACCAGTGAAATGACAGAAGAAGCTGTCTGCTCCACTGTAGACACAGAACTTTCTGGGACAAGGAGGACGTGCTTATTGTAGATGAGAAACATCCCCCCAGCAAAGATGTAGCTGCCTCCTGGAGACAGGCCTTCTAGTTCATGAGTCTTGCAAAGAGAGAAGTGGGTGGCATACAGCCCAGTACAGAGCATAGGAAGCGGCCACCAGCAGGAAAAACTCAGTTACCTGCAAAAGGTGCAGAAAACAGTGCTAATAGTACTACAGCAGCTGGGGTGTGGTGGTGGAGCTGTAGTGAGCGTTCAAGTGTTCCACCCCCAGCATAATGATGAGGGTGTTCCCGACCCCAGTGACAGGGCAGGTCATGAGAGAGAGCAGGAAGAGATTTGTCTAAGAGTGGGGGACGTTCCCCATTTGCAGTATGGGAAGCTCCATCAGTGATGTCTGATTTCCCCATTGCAATTTTTCCACAGAAGGCTTTAGGTCCTTCTTGTCCCCTCTCTCCTTGTAGGACACCTATGAGGAAGAACATCTGTTTCTTTGTTGGTTGCTTAAAGACATTGTGAATGAAGGTCAGAAAGATGAACCTTGGAGGGGTGTGTGCCACTGAGTGCATTCACCTTCCCTAGATGTGCTCTGTGCCTTGTGAAAGGTGAAAAATGCCGCCTTCTGGAGGGCAATGTCACTCATGCTTGCAGAATCCCTTCGGACTGCGCAGGTGAGATGCTCTGCAGGCACCTACCGTTCATAGTGTGTAATGAAAGGGACAGGCCAGAAAGCCAAGGAAGCGTGAGGTAGCATTTGCAATGAACCTGTCCAAAGTGGGTGAGAGAAATCTCTCTGGGATGTTGGGGGCTGTTCCTGGTGTAAAACACAGAAATGCCAGGGCTTCTTGTAGTGTCCACACCTGAGCTGGCCTCGTGCACTCCTCACACACACATCTGAGACGCCCCAAGGCATGCGGAATGAACCCAGGAACCTTAGTTCAAGGAAGCACATCCCAGTGCTGCATTCATGTGTTTTCCCAGGGAACATTGCTCTCAACGTGAAGAAACCCCAAGACACTGTCCCACAGGCCTTCATGGAATCCTGTGTTTGGTTTGTGCAGCAAGGTTTAGAC